CGAATGCAAGATGGGTAAACCAGATTAGTATACCAGTTACCATATTTCTGACATTGATCTCTACAGAATAGCATGCCGTTTATGGATGCAGCTTCTAAAAAGAGTGTGCTACGCTGGATAAAGAGGGTGAAAGTGTTTGCAGGCAAGAGATACACATTCTATCCTCGCAGTGGTTTCTTAACATCGAATTTCCAGATGTGGATGCAGGGTTCCATCCAACCCCAAGCAAGACGAAACTTGTGGAGGATCATCCTTTTACGACTGCGTTAAAGCAACTTGGCAGCATGGAAGAGGATACAGTCCCAACAGGTAAGAGCTTTTGATATGGTTTGTATTCACTCTTGGAATGTTTGTGAATGTTCCAGACGTGAAAACAACGATATACTTTCAAAGCAAGGTGTTGGAGCCTCCTCAGGTCATTGCCGAATTTGCAAACTGGACGAAGAGAATGCATGAAGAATTTGACCGGGAGGTCGAATTTGGAGACGATCCCACATACGTCATTGGCCAAAGTGAATTGAAAAAGCTTCTAAAGGTCGAAAAAGAAGGTAAGCTTTTTGCGTTGATCTCGTTCATGCGTATGACAAACTAACTTTTACATTGTTTCAGTTCTCTGTTTTCACAAGTGCCTCAAAGATCCGCGTGGGGACTGGAGAGCGGGCGATATGGTGAAGCTACAGAAAGAGCTATACAAAGGCAAGCAAAATTTCTACGGTGTCATCGAGTGGTTCTTCTGCGATGGAATCGACGAACAATACGGGGAAGTGAAGATGGTTTGCAGGCCCGTGGAGCTGCTGACTACGGAAGAAGAGAGCAAGATTGAGACGGCACAGATTTGCAGCTTCAAGCTCAACAGGTGCAGGTGGTTCCCTTGCACCGTTCTGAATTCGGAAAAGTGCCACCGCATGACTCCAAGTGAGTGGCATACACAGGAGAATCGGCTGAAGGGAAAGCTGCCGGCATTCGTAGAGCTTCTCAACACGACGACAGGCGAGTGTTTGGGGGGAAACATCTGCATCGGAGTAACCTCACGTTCGAAGCGGGATACGTGCTCCAAATCGACTCGTTTCTGGTCGTGGTGCGTCCACAGCAAGGCACTGGAGCGAGCTGCAAGCAAG